AGGACTTTTGCACCTCCAACTGCGCCTGCAGGATTCACGATGTGGCAGCATACCAAGTCCAAGATCTTGCATTTGTGCGACTACAAGACACCGAACGTCTTTGAGTGCGGGCGCAAGCCGGGAGCCTTCCACACTTGCAATGACTTGAGACCTCGATGGGATAGTGGTATCTGTTGGAAATGTTTCAAAAACAGGTAGTTGTCAAAGACAAACTTCTGTGTGCAGTTGGACCAGTCCGACACCATTTCATGTGTGCTTGAGCTTTCAGTTGATGTTAGGGCCTTTCATGGTTGATTTGTTTCACTTGCATTTTGCATTGCAACCTTGAGCAGTCAGACAAATGTCATGCGTCTCACGTTTCAACTTCAGCAGATGCTGGACACTTAGCTTCAAGGAAGCCAAAAAACGTGATGAGCTGAATCGTTTGTTGGGGCTCAGTTCGAAATCAAGGCATGAGGTCAAAAGGCAGCGTGTCAAATCAAGCACAGTTGTGATTTTTTTTAAATTCAGTTCATTCAAGTGTTAAGAGAGAATCTTTTCGTGAACCATCGAACCAGTCCGGCCATTCAAGTGGAGTGGACGTTTGATGGCTTGCATGGAACATGTCTATCAAGAAAGAAGCTCTTGGAGACGGGCTCACAGGGCAGCTGCACTAGCAGGGCCGGAGTGATCTCAAGAGTTTGGCAAGCATGTCATGTTTTTCAGAAACTTTTCATTGAGTGCAAGGGTTTTTCATTTTTCAGTTTTGCAAACCTGTCGCGGTGCCTGTAGCGGATCAGCATGGCCTTGGTCGACAGTGAAGCTGCGTTTGAGCAGCGTGCCAAGGAAGTTGTTACCAACATGGCTGCCAGGTTAGCAATAGCCAACAGAGGCATCAGAACGTTTAGCACTTTAGCTTTTTCTGCCGGCACACCTCAGTCGCCGCCAAGTGACGATGCATTCAGAAACTTTGCAGACGGAGTGCTTCCACCAGGATATGACATGGCCACTTACAGTGCTTTCAGGCGGCTTCACTTTGAAGCATCGACATTGGTGGTTGCCCAGCTTAAAGCCAAAGTTACAGGTGACCAGGAAGAGGGCCGCCAGAAATTGCCGGTGATTGAAAAACAGACCAGACTTGCAGATCAGAAGAGACGCCTGTTGGGAGTGGACATAGAAGGTGAGTTACAGCCTTCGTACCATTTGGTGGACACCGTGAACAACATGATCGAGACCAACTGCGTTCAGTGGATAGCGCCAAGCAAGGCGACTTCAAGAGATCAGGAGATCCAACATGGAGCAAAAAACCTTCCATCGGTTGTGCAGCTCGAACAACATACGTTAAAGCTGTCAGCCCCTGACAGCTCGCTGGAGGCTGAGTGTGCTTCCACACTCCAACTACAATGGTGTTTGCAGAGGAGGGCCTTAGCCCTTGATCAAGTTCGACTTAGCAGTTGGGAGTGCCAGTCAAAGTGGATCAGCCAACTGATGACTACGTTGAACACTCCACCACCGCCAGGACATGCAAGGATCACCTTGGAGCAGCTAGTGAGAGCTGACAAGCAGTTGTGGACTGAGATGTCCAAAGCCTTCAATGGAGCGGTGGTAGCAGCAATAGCTGGGGATGAACCGCCTTTCGATGAACATGTTCAACGTCTCCGAAGTGATCCAAGAGTCACTATGTATCTTTTGCCTTTGCCTCAGCTTGCAAAGGTGAGTACATCAGGTGGGAACACAGCAGCCTCCTCTGCGGCGCCAAAGGGGACACCATCTGCAAAGGTGCAGCCTAAGAAGAAGTTCAAAGCCACCAAACGTGCAGAGAAGAACAAACCCGAAATGCTTATGGGCATGGAGACAGTCACCAAAGATGGACAGAATGTTTGCTGGTCATACAACTTGGAAGGAGGATGTCAGGCCCAATTGATTGGTGGATCGAAGCCCGCAAGATGTGCTAAGGGCTTGCATGTTTGTGCATTTTGCCACAAGGCCAATCACTCTCAGTTGGTTTGCAACTTGAAGAAAAAAGGGAACTGACTAGGTACAGAGACAGCAGCCGAGGTGGATGGGACATTTTGTCAAGCTTCATGTCAGCTTGCTGATATTTGTTTATAGTCTAATGGACAGCGATGAAAGAGCGTCTCTTCAAAAAAAATGTGTGTGTTCAAAACAAACATGTCTCATGAACATGTTGTTCAATGTTTCAATCAAAATGGAAAACACAAACCAATGATAATTGTTTCACGTGACATTTCCCTTCAAGCATGTGGTGGGTGGGCGGGAAGCTCACAAAATTGTGGGTGTAGAATTTCAATTTTATGGTAGCTCGTTTTCGGGCCGCGTCGATCACTGAGAAAGGCTGTGAGGCATTTCAGACTGCAATTCAGATTCATCATCGTTTTTGGACTGCAAAGGTTTTGTGCTGGGGTAGTGTTTGCTTTGGCATTGGCTTCACAGTGTGTTTCGCGTGGCTCTTGTATGGATCCCTCATTTGACCCTGTCATCCGATATCACATTGCTTGGCAACCTGTGGAAGTCCACAACAACCTCGACCTCGTCAGGTGGGACCATTGGTCAACTCTCAGGGTTATCCCTACAATTTGCTGGCAATTGGGTGGTCTTGAACAGAATTTGGTGGTTTACGCATTTTTGGACCTGATTTCCATTTCTCATTTGCGTGTCGCTTGCTTTGGCTGGGCAGTTGAACTCTCTGACAATCAGGAAGAGTACATCATCTTGCGCCGAGCACGTGCCAGGCGACTCCAGGTGTCCACATTTTTAGACACCCTGGTCCTTGATCCACCTGTGCAACATTGACATGACCACCTCAGGTTCAGACAGGCTGAAGCGGAATGGGGGATTTGACACAACTACACCTGCAGTGAGCTCTTCATGTTACGAACAACATGTCAGACACATTTGGACTGCAAATCATAATTCAACTTTCAAAATGCCTTGGGAGCTTGCGATGATCACTCCATGGGACGCATGCAAAAGGCTTAGGACCAACAAGATCGACTTGCATGGACCCTTGCCTCCCGTGCCAGTTACTGCAAAAGTTTGTCACTCAGAGCGTGTTGCAACTGAGATTCTTTCTTTCAAGCAGATCGGAGTCAAAGCTGCCAAACATGCTGACGATCGTTTATGGTCAGACAAATTGTCATGGGAGCGCAAGTGTGCTTACAAAAAATGGGTCAGCATCATCTTGAGACAGGTTGGAGCCTTTGACATTGCCAGACAACAGGCTACTTGTCACACCATGGAATTTGCGCGTGGAGGCCTATTGGAGTCGGTGAAAGACTCGTTGGGCACCAAGGCTTCATCGACGCTTCATGCAAGGGCAGGGCCTATTTTGCAGTACATTCAGTTTTGTGAAGACAGAGGGTTGCAGGCCTTCCCATTGATCGAACCAGTAGTTTATGACTACGTCAAATCATGCGAAACAAAGGCTGCAACCTATGCAAGGTCTTTTCTCTTGGCGCTGAGTTTTACAAATTTCCATTTTGGACTCACTGGGACGCTGTCCATCATGAGCTCTGGACGCATTCGTGGTTTGGCAAACACCATGTATTCCAAGAAAAGAAAGCTGACACAGAGGCCGCCCCTGTCAGTGGATCAGATTGAACACCTTGAAAACATAGTCTTGGATGGTCGCAGGACCGAATTTGATCGACTGGCTGGCGGATTCTTTCTCTTCATTTTGATGGGCAGGCTCAGATTCAGCGATGGGCAACAAGTGTGCCAACTCAAGCTGGATCAACAACCTGATGGCTTTGGTTTTGTGGAAGCAGTGGCAGCCAAAACCAAGACTTCTGTCAGCTTGGAAAGGAAAACACGACACCTTCCAGTTGCCGTCCCGCTCATGGCGTTCGGTGCCAGGCAATGGCTGCCTACGTGGTTGGAGCTGCGGAAGAAAGCCTTTGGAGATGCTTCCAACAGCAAGGAGGAGTTCATCCCTCTTTTGCCCTCACCAACTGTCAACGGTGCCTGGACCAAAATGCCATTGACTGTTACGTCGGGCGCCAATTGGTTGCGCAGCCTCCTCCAGGGCACCGGGGAACAGCAAGGAACCCCCATTGGGACCCATAGCCTCAAGGCTAGTTTGTTGTCGATGTGTGCAAAGTTTGGAATGCCACATTCCCAGCGAAAACTCTTGGGATATCATGCAGGCGGCAAGGAGCAGAGCATGTTGTGCTACTCCAGAGACAGCATGGCGGAACCGCTGCGCCAAATGTGCGAAATGATACAAGCGGTGAAAGAGCGAACCTTTCTGCCTGACTGCTCCAGATCGGGGCGTTTTCCCAACAGAGAACCAGGTTATGAAGTTGCAGAAGAAGAAGAGTTGAGTGAATCCTCATCTTCTGGATCCGAAAATGAAGAAGAAGTCCATCCCGAAGGAGAAGAATTGGCTTGCGAAAGGGTGCTTGGAAAATGGCAACCCTTGGCTGAGCCACCTTCGGAAGAAAGTGTCTTTGTGCGCCACCGAATTTCCCGGTGCATCCACATCATGGCCGATGAAGCTGGGTTGGAATTTATTTGCGGCAGGAAAATGTCCGCATCATACGATGTGCTGGAGCCCAAACCTTCCTTTTGCCATCCAGCTTGCCAACTTTGCTTCAAAGACCGGGCCACCTGAGCTTGACCGAGCATATATGAAAAAGGGCAGGGAGGTGTTCCGCTGCCACCAGTGAAATTGAACATGCATGGCATGAGCAAGTTGCTGTGCCAAGGTGTGTGATCGATGTAGTTCAACACAGTGTTTGAACGGACAGACAAACGGAACTCAAAGTTTGAGTTCATGTGAAAACTTCTCAGCGCAATGCTCAAGCTTGCGATGAGGTGCACTCGTGATTGAGTGAGCATGTCGACACTCAGGAAGTTCCTGTGTTAAATTTGTTTCGTTTTCATATACAATAACCATCCCCTTAATCACAATTAATAATATGCAAACCTCTCGAATTTTCTCATGATATAAGGATCTCAAATCTTTTGAACCGTAGTCGCAGCACCTGTCTTTGCCCAGCATGAGCTATGGTGACAGCAAAGCAGTCTTCAAAAGGCGACGCGAGGAGATTGGATTTGAGTCAGAGGTGATAGAGCAAATCACCAATCATGGACTTGACACCATGGCGAAGTTTGCATTTGCATGTCATTTTTCACCTGGTAGTACAGATGAGGCGCCCCTGATCCAGCTGGCAAAGGAGATAATGAAACGTGCACCTTCAACGGTAGAGATGTCTTGTGTTAGACGCCTTTTCAGTGAAAGCTATGCCAATGTTGCTGCAGACATCAAAAATTCTGTTGAGGCAACGGATGACATGCCGACCCGTAGGCTTGCACCAGCAGAAAGAGCAGAACGTTTGCGTCTGCAACAGCAACGCCTTTCAGGTGTCAACATCTCAGGACCCTACGAGCCTGGAGACGCATTAGTGGATCGATGCATAGCAATGTATGATGCTGACCGCATTCAATTCATACCATGGGATGTTTGCACCAGCCGAGAACATGAGATATTGCAAGGATCGAAGAAAGATCAAACCCTGACCTTTGACTCGACAGGTGTCCTCAAGCTCCACAAGCAGTCTCGTGTTGAGCCTTGCAGCACTGCCACAGAAATTCAGGTCCGTTATTGCTTGACTCGGAGAGCACTGGCCTTGGAGCAAGCCAACATAGTCAGTTTCCAAAATATGGAATCATGGTCAGAAAAGATGATGCAATCACGTTTGGATGAGCCTCCTCCGAACTATATCAAAACTACCATGAAACAACTGGAGTCTGCTGACAGAAAACTGTTTCTCCTCATTAGTGAAAAGACGAGGGAGGGCATCAAGTGCAACGCCAAAGGACGCCCAGTTGACGATGTTTTCAAAGAGAGCATGGAAAGTTCAGAGGTGATGTCATTGTTACAACCACGACCTGGAGGCAGCAGTGCAGGACCCAGACCAGCCGAAGCTCAACCAGAAGGCGAAAGACCCAACAAAAGGTTCAAGGGCGCTGGAAAGTCACGTGGCAAGGGTTTTGGGAAGCCTCAAGGGAGTGTCGATTCATTTGTGCGCATTCCAAAAGAACTGCTTGTGTTGGGATCAGTGGCTGCAACACCAAAGGGACACAGACTATGTTTTTCATACAACCTGAAAACATGCAGCAACACCGTGGACAAACAAAGGTGTCCAAAGGGCCTCCATGCTTGTGCGGTCAAAGGTTGCCACGGACAGCACCCAGCAGTTGAATGCTCTCGCGCAAAGCGGGATTGACTAGGAGGCCCACAGATCGACGTCGAGATGGAGGCAACTCGACAGAATTCAAATTTTTGCGAACATGTAGAAGAGCCGGCCACGGATCCTTTGCAGAGTCAAAACTGTGAGCAGAGCGACGTTTTTGCTGGCTTGTTGAATGATTTGCAGATCCCTGAGGGATCCCGAACACCCGTTTTTGTGGAATTATGTGCAGGCAGCGCAAAACTGTCAGACGCTGTCAAACAATTTGGATACAACATTGTGGCGGTCGATCATGACAAAAATCGCCACTCTCCACGCTGCAAACTGGTTCAGTTGGATTTGTCACAACAACATGCTTGGGACATGCTGGATTTCTTACCGGAAAGGTTCTTAGTAGCTGGCGTGCATATGGCACCCCCTTGCGGGACTTGTTCAAGGGCCCGAGGGATACCACTTGCAGACGGTTCTCAAGGACCTCAGCCTTTGCGTACCACAGAGTACCCCTTGGGACTCCCCACACTGAATCAACGCGATCAACAACGAGTTTTTCTGGCCAATCAAATTTACAAATTCTGCGGTCAATACGTTCAGAAACTCCAACAGGCTGGCATCCCTTGGACAATCGAAAATCCAACAAATTCTCTCATGTGGGACCTTGAATATTTCACTTGGGCTGTTGCCAATGGGTTTTTCGTCAACATGCATGCTTGCGCATATGGTTCATCCAGGAAAAAGCTCACATCATTTTTATGCAGTCACCGCGAGTTCAACAAGCTCGAGCTCTATTGTGATGGTCAACACGAACACCAACCCTGGGGTGTTGCGGCGGACGGACAATTCAGCACAGCTCTTGAGGCTGAATACCCCAGAGCCATGTGTCTCAAATATGCAGAAATTTTTCATGAACTGTGCAAGCAGCGGAACATTCAGCCAAGTCAACAGACAGCCGTGGAAGTTCAAAAACTTTCTCTTTACCAACAACCCAAGGGGCGCAAGCTTCCTCAGCTGATTCCAGAGTACGGCTGCACAAAAATCATTCAAGTGAAACACTTGCCTCCTGTTGACCACAAAGGCTGCCTGACCAAACCCCTACAAGACATCCCTGTTGGGAGCAAACTTTTACGAACTGAAGCCAAGAAGGGGTCAACTTTGTGCGTTTTTGGTATTTACAGATCCTTTGAAGCCTTTACACAAGTTGCCAAACAACTGTGGCATCCATATGATGAACTAAGAAATTTACCTGGCGATTTGGTACGCGTGATATTCCAACATCTCAGCCAAACCCCTGATGCAGTGACGAGAGGACGCATCGCTATCTTGACGGACTGGGCAAGACGTGCAAAAGCGCTGAGTGATCTGGAAAATCAATTGAAGTCCAACATGAATCCCAACGTGGCAAAAATCATGGCACCTAAGCGCATTTTGCTCATGAGATCCATTGCAATTGACATGGAATGGCCTGACCTTGCTCTGTTTGATGAACTGGCGGAAGGGTTCAAAATAGTGGGACCTGTCACAGAGTCAGGCATTTTCAAACAAGGCATCACATTGGCTGAGATTTCTCCGCAACAGTTGCGAGACAGAACCAAATATCTCAGGCCCATGATAATTGGAAGAGCAAAACTTGGTGACGGCAACGAACTGCAGCAGCAATTGTACGACACTACGCTGGAAGAAGCTAGGGAGAAAAACTGGCTTGAAGGACCTCTTCAACCCAGCCAGGTCGATGACAACATGGGCAGCGATTGGTTGCCCGTTCGAAGATTCGGAGTGTTGCAGAAAGACAAACTCCGTCCTATCGACGACTTCAAGGAAAACCATGTGAACAAAACATTTGCCAGCTCCGAGCGGTTGGAGTTGAGGACCATGGACCACACTTTGTGGTCCCTCTTCACAGTCCTGAAGTTTCTGCTGTTTGACGGACGTTTGGATTTCACACTCAGCTCAGGGGAACGTTTGTGTGGCGAGGTTCACCCAGCCTGGAAAAGTGTTGAACCGAACTTCAAAACTTCCTGCATAGATCTCAAGTCGGCATACAAACAACTTCCACTGAATGAAGACAACTACAAAGATTCAGTGGTGACCATTTGGAATCCTGACAAGAAATGTGTTGAATGTTTTATTATGAAAGTGCTCCCCTTCGGAGCTGCAGCGAGCGTCCATCACTTCCTGCGTGTCAGCAACTTCCTGCAAGCAGTGTGCAGGTACATGGGATTACTTTGGTCTGCTTTCTTCGACGATTTTGTGTTGCTCAGCCATGTGATGCATGAATCCAGCACCATGACGACGGCCCTCAGCCTTTTCGACATTTTGGGTTTTCAATACAGCAAAGACAAGTTGCAACCTTTCAAAGACAAAACTGAAATGCTGGGTGTTGAACTAGACCTGTCGGCAGTGAAAACCGGCACCATCAAAGTGAGAAACAAAGCTTCACGAACGAGCGAGCTTTCTGAAATCCTGGAGCGAATCTTGAAACAGAAGAAGGTGATAATCAAGGAGTTACCGACGACTCTTGGTAAACTTCAATTTGCCGAAGGGCAGCTTTGGGGAAGATCGGGACGCCTTGCCTTGTCCGAGCTCAGACGTCATGAAAAATCTGGAGACAAAGTAGCCGTGATGGACAACAGAAGCCTTGACGCGGCGACGCTCCTCTTTGAGAAACTCAGGAATGGAAAACCGAGAACAATTGGTATCAGTCCCAAAACCAAACCCTTCTTACTGTTCACCGACGGCTCTTTGGAATATGACGAACTGGACAGACCCATTGCAGGAATTGGAGCCGTTCTCATGTGCCCCGACAATACAAATTTTGTTTTTGGAACAAAGGTCACAAGTGACACGCTGAAGCTGTGGCAAGTTGATGGCAAAACGCATGTTGTGGGATTGGTGGAGCTGTATGCTCTTGTTGCTGCTTTTAAGACTTGGGCAAACATCCTCAAAGGTCAACGTGTCATTTGCTTCACTGACAGCTGGCCGGTCCTTGACGCGCTGGTCAAAGGAAATTCACTCGTTGCTGAATGGAGAGACCTTCTTTTGATTTTTGAAACTTTGGATGAACAAATCGATGCAATGCTTTGGATGGCGCGCGTTGCCTCTAAATCAAATCCAGCCGATGCACCTAGCAGGTTTTCCTTGAAAGAACTGACTTTCCTCAATGAGCTTGAAATTTCAGAAGCAGTTTGCCCCATCACCGGTAAACCTCTTGAATCTTTTGTAGCGTGGAACTGAAGCGGAAAGGGGATGATCCAATGTTTGGATCAAAAATCACATGGTGGGATGTCCACCAATCTGAAACATCAATGGATGATTTCAAATGGATGAAACCTTGGACATAAAACAGTGTCCAATCGAATTCCCCAATCTGCTTCGCGAGAAAAGATCAGAGCTTCACACTGATTCATGTTAAACAAACGAAACGCAGTGATGTCAAACTTTGATGTGGAGTTCTTGGCGCAACGACGACGTAACCCGAGGATAGCGCGGCGTGAGATATATATGTTTATATATATATATACATATGTATGTATATATATATATATATATTTACATGTGTGCTTTTCTCTTTTAGATTCAACAGTCAGAAGGTTTGCCAGAGTTCATCTGTGGTCACGCCATATGTTCATATGTGAACCTCTCTTTTGAAGAGATCCATGTATGACTATAAGCTTCATGTCAGCTTGCTGATATTTGTTTATAGTCTAATGGACAGCGATGAAAGAGCGTCTCTTCAAAAAAAAAAGTGTGTGTTCAAAACAAACATGTCTCATGAACATGTTGTTCAATGTTTCAATCAAAATGGAAAACACAAACCAATGATAATTGTTTCACGTGACATTTCCCTTCAAGCATGTGGTGGGTGGGCGGGAAGCTCACAAAATTGTGGGTGTAGAATTTCAATTTTCCCTCCCAACTTCGTTTCCCACCCCTTTTCTTCCCCAATTTTGTGCATGGGAAGATCCAATATTTGGGGGGATGACCCAATGTTTGGATCAAAAATCACATGGTGGGATGTCCACCAATCTGAAACATCAATGGATGATTTCAAATGGATGAAACCTTGGACATAAAACAGTGTCCAATCGAATTCCCCAATCTGCTTCGCGAGAAAAGATCAGAGCTTCACAATGATTCATGTTAAACAAACGAAACGCAGTGATGTCAAACTTTGATGTGGAGTTCTTGGCGCAACGACGACGTAACCCGAGGATAGCGCGGCGTGAGATATATATGTTTATATATATATATATACATATGTATGTATATATATATATATACATGTGTGCTTTTCTCTTTTAGATTCAACAGTCAGAAGGTTTGCCAGAGTTCATCTGTGGTCACGCCATATGTTCATATGTGAACCTCTCTTTTGAAGAGATCCATGTATGACTATAACACAAGTTTCACAGTTTTTCACGACACAGCTCAGAGCAGAGCGATTTAGCGCTAGACTCACGTGGAGCTGAAAGTTCAAGCTTTCCGCATAGATCTCAAGGATCAGCAGAAAAGCAACCTTCCCAAAGCAGGGTCGCAGGCGAGAAGCCTTTTGACGGAGCTGGGAAAGACAACTTTGGTGGAGAGCCAAAGTCAAAGCCCAAAAAGGGCGATCGTTTTGCCGGGCGGAAACTCAGCGACATTTATGTACTGGAGCTGTTTGCTGGCACAGCTCGTTTGACTAGGAGCTTCAAAAAGAAAGGCTTTAGAAGTCTAGCTTTCGACAAGACCTCAAAGAGGTCGGAAGGTCAAGACATCATAGAGTGTGACTTGTCTAACAAAGACGAAGTCGACTCCTTACTGAATTTTCTTTCATCCAATGCTGAATCCATAGCTTTGTTGCATTTGGCACCTCCTTGCGGAACTGCGAGTAGGGCAAGGGGAAAGAGATTGCGCTTTTTGAAAGCTCACAACATCAAAGAACCTAGGCCACTGCGTGATGATGACCATCCTGATGGTTTTCAGTGGTTGCAAGGTAGTGACAAGTTGAGAACAGAAGCTGCAAATCTTTTGTATGAGACTACAGTCCTCATTGCTCGAACCGCCATTGCACACAACATTGCTATCACTATTGAAAACCCTGCCAACAGTTTGATGTGGAAAACTTCACCGTTTGTATCACTATTTCATGACTTTCCTGAATTGAAGTTCGTCACATTCCACAATTGCGCACATGGGGGAAGTCGTGACAAACTCACTTGTTTTGCAACAAATGTTTCATGGTTTGACAGTTTAGAATTGCGATGTGACAGACAGCACTCGCATGCTCCATGGACACCGACGGTGGTGGATGGCAAGGTGAACTACCCTACACATTCTGAGGCTGCATACCCTGAAATTTTGTGCGACCGTATGTCTTCCATATTACTTGCAATTGTACTGGCACAGGGAGCATTTGTTGCAACTGACCTGCAGCAGCATGCACAAAGTCATGGAAAGACCCTGAACCGTGTGGTTTTGGGAGCATTGCCGAGAGGCAAACACGTCAAGCCCTTGGTGTCAGAATTTGGACAGTATGTCAATGTCATTTTGGATGCCCAAACCGATGAAGGCTTGAGCAACTTCATGTCCAAGTTGCCCAAAGGATCAGCTGTGCAATCACGTCTTATTACAACTTGGGGTGAGGTGCGGGACATGATTGACAAGCAAGTCAAGAAACAACTGCTCACTGCAAAACTGGCGACGCTCAAGCAGCAGAGTGGGCAACAATGTCAACATGTTGAGGAATTTAATGCTGAATTTTTGCATAGTTTGGGATGTGTCGAAAATTCTAATTTCAAATTTTTGCAGAGCAGTCCTCATGAACAAGAGCCCAGAGGAGCGTGTGAGAAGATAACCATTGCCATTCCCAGGGAACCCATGGATTTTTTGCACAGGGCTGTCGAAGCGGGCCACCCAAGAAGCAATGCAATCTCTCTGCCGGAAGATTTGAAAAGGGTGGTGGAATGGAATAGAGATGCTAGTGCCTATGTCATTCACAAGCATAGGATTGAATTTGTGAAATTTTGGACGGAGAAAGCCAGGAGGCTTCAAACGGAAAATCAACGACTACTAGCTGAAGCACCTCCTCATTTGCAGCCTATATTGCAAGGGAAGCGACTGGCGCTCTGGCAAGCGATGGTTGATCATTTCGATTACCCTGACAAGCGTTTGGTTTCAGACATCTTGAATGGTTTTCCAGTGACAGGATGGCTCCCTGACTCCCAGATCTTTCCTCGAGAATCACGACCTCCCAGTATGGATGTTGCGACCCTGGAAGCTTTGAGCAGGGGCATGAATGCCCATGTCAGAGCAAAGGTTTTGTCGGCTGCCTCAAACGAACTTGCCGAAGTGACATGGGAAGAGACTGAAAAAGAGTTAGCAGAAGGTTGGATGGAGTTGGACCAGGGACAAGGTGAACGTGCAGCATGGGCCATGCGGTTCGGGCTCAAGCAGAAGGAGAAGGTGAAAGTCATTGATGATTTCAGCATAGCTGGTGTCAATCAAACCACTGGCATGCGTGAGAAACTCAAGATCTTTGGGATAGATGACATTGCGGCGCTTATTGCCCATTCCTTGGATTCAGTCGGTGATGGAGTTCATCCAAAGCTGCTTGGAAAGACCATCGACTTGAAGAGCGCTTACAAGCAATTTGGAGTTTGCAGTGATGATCGAGAACGCATTAGAGTGGCCACTAGCCGACCGACGTCATCTGAATTGGTTTTGCTGCTTGTTAATTCTTTGCCATTTGGAGCGACAGGGAGTGTGGCGGCTTTTCTTCGCATATCAATGTTTTTGTGGTACATTGGGGTAGCAGGAATTAGGCTGGCTTGGACTTCGTTCTATGACGACTACACCCTTTTGAGTCGGCATGACTGTGCGGAGAACACTGCTTGGTGCGCGGAATGTTTATTTGACATGTTGGGGGTACTGTTTGCGAAAGAAGGCAAGAAGGCCACTTCATTTGATCACACCTTCAATGCTTTGGGTGTTGTCTTTGACTTGAAGAGCATTGCAGAGCGAGTGGTGTTCATTGGACACACCGAGTCGAGACGCCTTGAGCTTGCAGAGACGCTGCATGAATTGTTGAAGGGAAAAAGCTACAGTGCCAAAGCCATTGAACGTTTGAGAGGCAGGTTACTTTGGTTCGAAAACTTCGTGTGTGGTCGACAGGCCAATTTTCTTGTGGCAAGACTTGGAAAATTTTGCGCAGAATCCAAGCTTGACAGACCAATGGAGAAGCTTTTGCGTGACACCTTGGTCATGTTGTTAGCCAGGGTGGAAGCAGGCAAACCCACTGAAGTTTCCACTCGAGTTTTTTTCAACGTGGATTCTCTTTACTGACGGAGCTTGCGAAGAAGCATCATCGGTGGGTGGAGTTTTGATCAGTCCAATGGGTTGTGCTGTTGCAATGTTTGGTGATTTTTTGCCGAAGCAATTTGAAAGAACGTTTTATCAAGAGTCAGCTCACCCCATTTACGAAGTAGAGCTGCTTCCGATTCTCATTGCCTTGGTCCTGTGGGGCGCTCTCATTGACAAGTGCCAGCTTGTCAGTTACCTAGACAACGACGCAGCAAGAGCTGGACTGATCAGGGGGGCGGGGGCCACCAGGCTTTCGGATGTTATCATCCAAATTGTTTGTGAGCATGAGGCTCAAATGCAATTAAAAACATGGTTCAGCAGAGTCCCGTCGCACAGCAACATCAGCGATGGACCAAGCCGTTTGGAGTTTGGTTTACTCGAAAAACTTGGGTGCTCAAAGCACGCGGTGCCTGGGAGCCAGGTTGAATCACTCGTCATGCCACGCCTTACATGAGTGGGGCAAGGGCGGGGCGTGAATGAACCTACCCCAAATGCTGTGAAAGAAAAAGACGGAGCATTTGGCCATGTCGTTTTCTGCACGTCGTTTGTGAATGTGTTTTTTCACTGAGTTTATGTTTTTAAGTTTGTTTGTTTTTGGCGCAAAGTAAGCGAGTAAAATTAACGTTTACCGAAGCGGTTCAATCTTTGGGAATAAGTTTGAACTCCCGAAGGGATGAAAACTTTATTCTCAATTTTTGAAAACTCTTGTGGTTTTGAAACAACAAGAGTTAGCTGAGGTTAACAGGTTTTACTCCATGCTGCCTTAAACAAAAACAGAAAACAACTCAACTCATTTGTCAAACAAATGAACGTCCTTTTTAATTTCATGTTGTGTGCAACATTATGGTTTAAGGGTGTGGTGGGAGGGTTTTCCTCCTTCTTTTTGCGGTTGGTTG